AATGGGGGGGAGGGCAGAGAGAGACACAGAGAGAGAGTATGAGCCGTGCGGAGGGGTGGGCCCCCAGGAGCCCAGGGGCATCCCACCAGCACCAGCCCAAAAAGGTGGCATGACCATCTGGGAAGCCTTTCTGTGGGCCCAGCCTCAGAGCCCTGGCAATTCCCAGTCCCCAGCCCCAGGACCTCCCACTACTAAAAGGAGACAAAGCGAAGATGTTTCCTACACCTTGTCCATGGCCTCCAATCACTGCAAATGACAACACTAAAATGCAAACTTCCTGAATACCCGATCATCGAGGGCGACTTTCAATGATGGGACCTCGGCCCCGTGGAATACTATGCAGCCCAGTGGAATATTATGCAGCCATTAAAGATGACAATTACGAAGACTGTGGCAGCAAAGGAAATTGCATGCGATGGCATTTCTGAAGGAACAGGCAGCAGGATTTATCTGCGCTGGGGACCCCGCTGAGGGAAAGGGCTGTCTACTCGTCAGCGTGGCCGGCCGCAGGCGCGGGCAGCCAGCCTGGCTTCCGGGGAGGAATTTTCTGCTCTTACTTTCATTCCTCTGAGTGCCACTTGTGCAGTAAATAATAAATAACGTCTTTGCTTATCTTAGGACCATGTTCCAGTAAATGAGGACTGCAGCAGGAGCCTTGAGCCCTGACTCCCGGCCAGAGACACGACATCAGACCAGAAAGAATGAGGAGGCTGCGTGGGGCCCACGGGCGTGCAGGGCAGAGAGGGTAAGGCGGGCCACTGGGACGCAGGTTCTGCAAGCTGGCCTTCCACTGGGGGCTGGAGGGGGCAGGGAGCAGACAAAGGAGGAAAGGCCATCCTCCGCCCCAGGAATCAAGGGGTGATGGGAGGAGGGCAGGGGGATCACTGAGGGCTGGAGGGAGCAGGCGGGGGCAATGGGTGCCTTAAAGGGTTTGGTCTGGCAGACGGGGTTGGAGGCCCCCAGGTGGGGCACACCGCTTGGCAGAGGAAGTGGGAGTTATGGAGGGCTGTGGAAGAGGCAGCCCGGGGAGGAGGGTGTTGGAGGAAAGAAGAGGGTGGAGAGAGGAGGACAGGTCAAGACTGTCACCAAGGGTCAGTGTTAGGGTTAGGGGCCCAGACCTCAGACCCCGAGGCTCCATCCAGCTTCTGAGGCACTGCCAGGCTGGGACAGGCCACAGGCACAGCAGGAGCTGGGCCAGACTCAGCATGGACAGACCTCACGCCCTCGAGGGGCAGCCTCGCCAGATGCCAAGCAGCTGACTGTGTGCATCGAGCAATGCCCCAGCCAGGAACAACCTCAGAGCTGGCCCGGCTCCCAGGGCACCTCAGTCCCAGTTGTCACCATGTCACAGACAAGGATGCTGAGGTTCACAGCAGCCTGAAACTCCTGCTCCATCTTCCAAACTCAGGCTGGGCCCGTACACGTGAGCAGACCTGCGCAGAAGGGCCCAGGTAGGCGAACGGGCAGGAGCTGCCCCTGCCTGCAGCACGCGAGGCTCGGCCCCAGGGAAAAGGAGGCCGAGGCCACCAACCAGCCCTCCTCACAGCCCTGGCCCGGCCCCTGCCCCATGGAGCTTGCAAACTCTGGCCTCTTAGCCAGAGCCCCTCTGCCAATGCAGCCCCCTCCCGCTGTGCACGTGTCCCGGGGACCCTGAATCCGAGCCTGAATCCGAGACAGCGGGCAGAGGAAGAGAGGCTCAGTGGGGCCTTGCGTGAAGAGACCGGGGCAGGAGGGGCTCCTGTCTTGCCTGGGTCCCTGAGGCTGAGTCTGGCTGCCCGGCAGTGCCTGTCCAGGAGCTGCCCCTCACCCCACAGGAAGTGACAGGCCCAGCATCGCACACCAGCCGGGACAGGGTACAGGTTCCAGGACGGTGCTGCTGGGCCCCACACGGCTCAGACCTGGGTCCCCGTCGGCCTCCTGCCGGGGACTCACCGGTCTGCTTTTCGCCCCTGTCCCAGGAGGACAAGAAGTGCCCCCCGTCCATCCTGAAAAGGAGCCGGCCGGAGCATCACCGCCCAGGGGCCGAGCCCCAGAGGACCTCGAGGCGTGTGCGGTTCCAAGAACCCCCAGCGGTGACCGTCCACTGTAAGAGGCACCCGCAGCCAGCGGCTGGAGAGGATGGGGTTGGGCAGAGGGAGGCGGGGACTCCGGCCACACCCACCCAGCTCTGGCAGGGCCCAGGACATGGGGGGCCATGGCCACCTGTCTTCAGTGGCAGAACCCCTGGGCCCGTGGGGTCACCTGGACACACAGTCCTGGTCCGTCAAACGGCAACTGGAGGAAAACATGACAGCGGCTTCTCGAATGACCGTCCTCTTGAGGAAGCATCAGGACCTGGCTGGGCCTGGGTCTCTGACCCATGAATAGTCTCAGGGGTCCCTCGGGGGTGCAGGGTGAGGCGAGAGGGCAGGGACACCCGATGGACTGAGGCAAGTACCTCCCAGCTGACTCTCCGTTCTCCTTCCCAGACATTGCTGACAGGAACACCACGGCCACTGTCAGGGGTGAGTTCCGAGCCCACATGCCTGTACCCCACTGCCCCCTCCTTCAGTGCACCCACCCTCACTCCCTCCCCAAGGGAGGTGTCACAGGGCCAGGGCCTCTGAGGAGTCCCTAGTGGGGGGCTCTTATTGCAAGGAGGCCCCTCGAGGCTAGGGAGGGGCCATGGGCAGGGATCTCCCCATCCCTTCCCCACCAGCCCCAGTCCTCCAGGGAAGGGTGGGGCTGGCTGGCGCTGACCCTGCCTGCCCTCTGGCCGCAGTGCCCGGCAGGCCCAGGCCACACAGCGGCTCCCTGCTCCTGCGGCTGTGCGTGTGCGTCCTTCTCCTGCTGGCCCTGGGCCTGTACTGCGGCCGGGCCAAGCCCGTGGCAACGGCACTGGAGGACCTGCGGGCCCGGCTCCTCAGCCTTGTCCTGCACCTGCAGCACGCGGCCCTCACCTGCTGGCACGGCCTCCTGCGGCTCTGATGGGCAGGACGGGTGGGGCTTCCCGGACAGCTCAAGCACTCCGGGGGCTCTGAGACAGCCTGAGCCCTGGCCCTGCTGCTTGGTGAATCACGAGGGCCAAAAACGGCTGCTGCCTGGGGGCCGACTGGGAAAAGCGGGACCCCATGGCATGAGACTGGACATGGGGGCACAGCGGGCGGCCCTGCCACACTAGTCAACACAGCCCTCCTGCCTCCTGTGTTGGGTCCACGTGAGATTTTATTAGAAAGAGGATTCGACTGCTAACAGTTGGGGCTCCCTAGACTCACCCAAAGGCCCCTCCCTTGTCCCAGCAGGAGCTCCTGCTGCTGCTAGGGCCCGGCCCGGCCATTGCCGTGTGCACCCGCTTGAGGAGGGGGGCACGCTGCCTGTGTTCGAGGGGCTGCTCAGAGGAGGCAAACCCAGCCTTTTGCAATTAGGGCCTGTGGAGAACCCAGACCTCGAAACCCCACAGGAAGGGTTTGGTTGTCAAGGTGGGTCCCTCTGATGTGAGGTGCCATCCTCTGAGCCCAGGTCTGACCCCCTACTCAGTCCCATGAGTCTGGAGAGGCCCCAGGGGACGACCCCTCATCGGGGGCAGCTTCAGGTGCAGAAGTTGACGGGACAGCAAGGGGCCCAGACACCCCCGGCCTTCAGAACAGCCATCTGTGCCCAGCTCTGCAGGCCGGGGGCACCCAGCCGAGCCCAGGGCCAGCCAGTGCCACCCACCAGCTGGGGCCTGTAGGTCCCGGAGACCGTCTGTGGTTGTGGCTTTGTCACCAGATTGCAGAGCTGAAGGGAGCCCTGTGGGTGACAAACACTAGGGGCCCCTCCAGACCCTACATGGGGGGAGGGCCGAACAAAGCAGGGAGGCCCACGGTTAGGGACCAGGCAGAACTGCCCAGGAGAGACACAGGGACAATCAGACCAGGGTCCTCAAGGCTCGCCTGAGAGGGAAGGGCACGGCTGACGACCTGTCTGGTGGTTCCTCTCTGTCCCACCACTTAACTGGGAGACACTGCTCTATTAAAACACACCGTGGCTTCCTTCCGTCCTGGCGTTTTTATAGAAACAAGAGAAACCAGAACCGATTCGCTAAGGAATCGGCCTCAGTGGCCAGAGTGGATGTCCTGGGCCCCTGGAACCTCCCCGTCTCCTGCAGGCCTGGGAGTGGATGAGTCCACTCGGGCAGGGGGTTAACCAAGCCCCCGGGTCTTGAGGGATGCCCGGCTGGCTCCCTTCACCCTGCAGTCAGGGTGTGTCCCCACAACTCCAGGTGCCAGGGAACAGGCGCAGTGGTCTCCAGGGTCGCTTTCAGCTTTGGAATCCAGGGAGCCCAGAGTTGTGGTTGGAGGCAACAAAAAGGGCTGTTTCCAGAAGTGGCCCAGAAGGGACCATGGTGGGGGCTCCCCCGGGAACCCTCCAGCATCATGCTCTCCCCACAGTCACCACAGCCCCACCTACCCAGGCCCAGCCCAGCCCACCCCACCCAGGGAGGAGGATGGGCAGGTTCCTGCCCCATATTCTGGATGCAGAAGCAGCGGCTACCAGAGGTTGGGTCTCAGGGCAGTCATAGACCCAGGCTCAGCCCCCTCTCTGTGTGCTTGGGCCACCCCTCCAGCCCTGGTTCTGATGGGGGACGCCGCCCAGGCCGATCTCCCCCAGCTGCGGCTGCCTGTCCACTGCAAAGGCAACACAAGGACATGCCTGGCTTTGCGGGGTCCTATGCTACGATCTCAGGTGCTCAACAAATATTGCTCAAAGATGGGCACCACACCCCCAAGAAATCCTTCAAAATTGATCCTCCCACCTGGGGAAGCAGCACAGGAAGCAGTGAGACTCGAAGCCAGTAGAAAATGTACAGAGAGGACGGCAGAACCTTGGGAAGGCCATCTTCCAATTCCTAAAAGCTTCGGACACAAAAGGCCCAAAGCCCAAGGGCACTGCGTGTGACCCACACATTCCAGACAGTTAAAACCTCGAGCCAGGCCGGCCGACCGCGGAGAGGGCAGAGAGAACCCCACACACTCCTCATGCCTGCTGGAGACTCAGGCGCTTTTGTTTTTATTCTGACTCTGAGGGTAGACACATGTAAGCTTAAGGGTCTTCACTTTCAGTTTAGCCAGAGTGGAATTAGAACAGAGATATCCATTATCAGACAGCCAGGAGAGAAGCAAAGGCATCTCAGAAGCAACTTGGCGGACCCGCCTCAGGAACCCCGGGTCATGCCTGTACTTCCCACCTTCCTTCCTGGGGAGAGGCCCAGCCCCCTAAGGGACCCTGGAGAACCCACAACCAGGGCGCCCAGCCCCTGCCCAGCAAAATTCAGGCCCAGCTGCCCCTTCCCAGGGTGATGTGTCTGGGCTCTGGGGACAGCCCAGTCCGGGGTGGGTCTGTGTCTGCATGCAGCCAAGCATTTCCGTCACCCTGGCTGTGGGGCTGTTCCAGCTCCTGGGATCCAGCAGTGCAGCCCCGAGGACAGACCCAACCGGAGCCAACCCTCAGGTTCCAGAACCACCCCTGCCTCCTGCCCCTCCTTCTGGGGCCCTAGATGGCTCTGGCCTGGATCAGGGCTGGGTAGAGGGTGAGGCAGGAGCCACCCTACCTTCTGCTGGGGACACAGACAAGGAGCTCTCCGGGCTGGAAAGAGTCCCCTGTTCAGTGGGTCAGGGCTGGCAGGGGAGACAGGGAAGCCCATCAGCTTAGGGGGCCTCGGATTCTGTCCAAACCCCTTCCCTCAAGGACCTGGCTGCCAGCTGGAAACTCAGCTGGGCCCCAAGGCCACAGCCCCCTTGAGCTTCCAGAGCCTCGATCCCCCGGCCTTGACGCCCCCAATGGGAACCTGCCTTCGCCACAGTGTGACGGGTCACCTGCCAGCCTCACTCGCGGGACCCAGGGTGATGCCCCCACCGGGACCCTCCATGTGGACCCAGGCATGTGGCCTCCAGGAGGCTGGTGCCCAGCCACCCAGAGACACCAGCCAGCTGCTGATGGTGGACGGGGTGGGTCACCAACACAGGGAGCTAGGGGCTCGCGTCTCCCTGGGAGGGTGGGCGCAGCAGCAGGGAGCACTCGGCAGCACTCAAGCCAAGAAACAGACAGCCGTTCATCGAGCCCCGGGTGAGGAGGCCCCGCCCCTGGAATGAGTCCTGTAGAGGTGGACCCTGGGTTCTCCTGAGGGGTAGGGTCCACAGCCAAGCAGCCCCCTACCCTGGGGTCCCAGGTTCACATCCCAGCTCCTCCACTTGCCTCTGTGGGGCCTCAGCACACAGACTCTGCAGAATGGGAAAGCGCTCCCTCCTCTCTCAGGTGGATGCTGGATGTGGGAGCCCATGGGAGGGGCAGAGGGGCTGTCCACACAGCACCCACGGCTCCCATCACGCACACAATGCTCACACACATATGCACACGCACGGGCATGCACACGCTCACATGCAACACGCGCACATTCACATGCGGTTCTTCACGCACATGCCACACACACTGTGCAGACACACCTGCCCAGGCACCCAGGCACTCACCTACATTCCTCCCCACACGCCCTACATGCACACTCACGCCACAGGTACAGTCACACCCTCACACACACTCACAGCCTCCCATGCACACTCACAATCAAGCCTTCACATGCACGACAGTCACACCCTCTCACATGCAGTCACACCCTCACATGCAGTCACACCCTCACATACACTCACAGTCTCACCCTCACATGCAGTCACACCCTCACATGCACTCAGTCACACCCTCACATGCAGTCACACCCTCACATATACTCACAGTCACACCCTCACATGCACAAGTCACACCCTGACATACACACAACAGTCACACCCCCACATGCACACTCACAGTCACACCCTCACATGCAGTCACACTCTCACATCCACAACAGTCACACCCTCACATGCAGTCACACCCTCACATCCACAACAGTCACACCCTCACATACACTCAGTCACACCCTAACATGCAAACTCAGTCACACCCTCACATACACTCAGTCACACCCTAACATGCAAACTCAGTCACACCGTCACATACACTCAGTCACACCCTCACATGCACAAGTCACACCCACACATGCACAACAGTCACACCCTCACATGCACACTCATGCACACTCACACCCTCCCATGCACACTCAGTCACACCTTCCCATGTACAGTCACACCTACACTGTCACACCCACACATGCAGTCACACGCGCACATGCACACTCACAGTCACATCCTCTCATGCACTCACATACACAATCACACCCTCCCATGCACAAAGGCACTCACAGAATCACATCCCCCATACACACCCACACACAGACCCCTGCCATGGCTCCTGGCCCAATCCTCTGTGTGGTAAGTGTGCCCCCCAAATCCCCAACCAGATGATGCCCCTGCCTCTGTGGAGCCCAGATTACCACCTCCGTGCCCCTCAGCCCAGCACGGACAGGACCCACACACAGTGAGGCGAACTCACAGGCCTCAGAAGCCTCCCTGAGCCCGGCCACGGGGTGTCCCAGGCCTATGGCACCCACCCAGGAGGGGGACTCAGCCGGGGAGGGGCCAACCTGGGGTCAGAGGCTGGAAGGTGCCGTGAGCTCCTCCCCACACGTAGCCTCTGCCTGGATGGCAGAATTCATGCAGAATTCGTTCAGGGCTGAGTGACGTCTGGCCACCCCTGGGCCAGCTGGCATGGAGACAGCATCTGGCCAGGGTTGGGGGAGACCAGCTGGACGCCCTCCACCCAGGCTGGCCAGTCAGGTCCTACTGGGACAGCCATGGGGCCCTGTGCGAGGCCTGGAGGTGCCCCCCACCCCCCGCCCCACACCCGTAGTCTCTCTGCACCATCCTCATCAGGGAGCCGGCACCCACCCAGTCCACTGCTAGGCTCACGAGTGGGCACTGGGGCGCTCACCTCACTACGCTCGAGGGGACACACGCAGGGCTGCATGTGGCCAGGGCCCAGGCAGAGCCCCCCAGCTGCTTCCCCAGGCAGGCCCATGCCCCCAAGCGCAGCCGGGAGGTCAGGGGCCAGCTCCCCTGCCCGCGCGGTGCCTAAATGACGGCGCTCTTCTCCTCTTGGAAGGAGGTGCGTGGGGACGGCCGGGCCAGCAGCAGCTCCTTCTCGTGGATCAGGCTGTCCAGCAGGTCCTCCTGACGGTAGTTGTGGTACACCTTCAGGAAGGCCAGCGTGGTGATGGCCAGCCAGGCCAGCCATGAGGCCCAGAGGCCAAACTGCACAGAGGGCAGGGGCAGGGTCAGAGGCCGTTGGGAGTCCGCTGTCAGCGCACCCCCCTCCCACCAGCTCCCAGGCTCTGCTCTGCAGGAAAAGGAGGGGACTCAGAGGAAGGAGGAGGCTGAGGACATGGGGCAGGGCCGGATCCTGAAGACCCTGCCCAAGATCAATCTTCTGAGTTCTTTCCTGCAGCCAGCATCGTTTTCCAGCACCTGCGCCCCTCCCGGAACCCACTCTGGAGCCAAAGCCCTGGGCACTCAGACCCACCCCAACTCCAGGCCAGCCAGAGGCCCTGGGGAGGGGCAGTGGCCAGCGGCGAGCGCGTTCTCCTGCAGCAGCTCGGGCCTGTGGGCTCTAAGGAGGGCGGGTAAACAGCGGAGGCTCCTTCAACCACCAGAATAAATTGACCTTTAGCTGCTGTTTCCAAACAGTTGAAGGAGAAACAATTTAATCAGAACCAGGCCTGAGCCACATTAAGCTGATTCTCATTTGAGCGTATTTGTCATCAGACTGCACTCACACCTTAATCCAACTGGCACAAATTAGGCCTGAGGCCTCTTCCACTCACTAAATTTGCATGGAAGTGTCTTTGACAGATCCAGTTCATCACGGCAAAGAACACTCAGGCCCACCTATGGCCAGCCCCTTGGAGGGTTCTGGCCAGGAGAAGCGTCCTCAGCCAGCCACAGCCAGCAAGAGCCTTCAGAGGCCAGTCTGGGGTCCGCAAGTGGATCTGAAGCCGGTGGGCCCTGATCAGTGCTGGCAGGAGCCAGGTGTCTGGTCTCAGCCAACCCCACCCGGCACCCCTCCTCTGCGTCACCTCCGTCTGGGGCACACCTGCAGACTTCAAGGAGCAAACCCAATTCCAGGGTTCCCCCTCCGGCCCTCACAGACCACTGATGTGTCCCCACAGGTCTGCATTTCAGCAAATAGGGTCCCTCAGAGTGGGGTCCACCATGGTCCCCCACCGAGTCTCCTAGGGGGTGGGGGACGCAGCTTATACAAGGGTAGGGTGGCAAATCTTCTGAATTCCCAAGTGGGATCCCCTGCATCCTTCCTTGGACTCCGTGTCAGCTTCCCCCTGGCTAGGAGACGTCCCTTGGACTCCGTGTCAGCGTCCCCCTGGCTAGGGGACGTCCCTGGACTCCGTGTCAGAGTCCCCCTGGCTAGGGGACGTCCCTGGACTCCGTGTCAGCGTCCCCCTGGCTAGGGGACGTCCCTTGGACTCCATGTCAGCGTCCCCCTGGCTAGGGGATGTCCTTGGACTCCGTGTCAGCGTCCCCCTGGCTAGGGGACATCCCTAAGCCTCCAGCACTGACCTGAACAGGCTCACCTCACGCTGGCACCAAAGTCCAAGGCCCTCGTCCCTGCACTGGACCCCCAGGATCTGATGCCTGGTTTCATTTCTGACACCACCTCCTCCAACACTTCTCACTCCAGACTCCAGGGCCTTGCCACTTCCTGATTCTAACTCACTGTGGCCATCTCCTCCCCAAACCCACCTACAAAAGCCCAGCCCTCCCCCACCTGCAGGAAGCCTTCCAGAGTGCTCCCACTGCCTGGTCCCGTTGTCAACCACCTTATCTGCATAGGAGCCTGCCTCCTCCTCTGGATAGGGGGAGAGTTCAGCGAGTGTCCAGCAGTAAATGCCCCCCTCCCAGCATTCCCAGCATTGCAAGCCTCCCCTCCTGCCCAGAGCCCCTACCTGGGCAATAGCAAACTGATCGTAGAAGGCGGAGTTGTCCACACCCAGCTCCAAGTCGATGTCCTGAAGCTCTTCACAGCTAAAACAGGAGGACGTAGGGTGGAAGGTGACCACCAGCACAGCCAGTGCAGGACATGGCTGAGCCGCTGGCCAGAGAGGCACGAACTTTGCCCTACAATGGTTGGGGGGCAGCAGGGAGTCTCCGAGGACACCACGGGCGATCGGCCTCGAGGCCTCCTCCATGGAGCAGTACAGCCTTCGGGAAAGGAAACCTCCAGGCCCCTCCCCATCCTGGCCCTGGACGGCCGGAAGACACCAGCTCAGCCTCTGCTCTCCCGGACCCTCTAACCCCATCCCCCACACTCTGAGGGTCATGGAGTCTCAGAGGCCAGGCCCCTCCCCATCCTGGCCCTGGACTCCTGGAAGACACCAGCTCAGCCTCCCCCCCCCCCCCCCCCCCCCCATGGAGTCCAGGCCCCCCCCCCATCCTGGCCCTGGACTCCTGGAAGACACCAGCTCAGCCTCTGCTCTCCCGGACCCTCTGCCCCTGTGCTCCACACTCTGAGGGTCACAGGGTCTCAGAGGCAGGAGATGCAGGGCTGCCTCAGCCATACAGAGATGGAGGTGGCGTCCCTACCAACGCTGCCCAGAGGCTCTGCCCCCATCACGGAGGCATCTCTGGAGGCAGTGGGCATCAGAGGGCCCGGGAGTGAGCCAGGCCTGGGCTCCCGGTGTCCTGTACCCCCAACATAAAACATAAAGCCAGGACACATTGACAGAAGCAGGGTGCCAGAGACAGGGAGCCCAGCAGCCCCCACACCCCCTGGAGGGGCTGAAGGGCTGGAAACGGTGTCCGTGAGGCCAAGGAAACTTTGCCTGTATACCAGGGGTTGCCCACGCTCTCGGGAAACAGGTGGCCAGAGCCAGCAGGTGGAGCTGGGACAGTGCAGGATGGGGCACAGGGCACAGCTCAGCACAGGAGGCCCTGCAGGGCCACACGCCCAGGTGCTCACGCTTTCCTCTGGTTTGTGCCCCAGGTACCCCAGAGTGGAGGCACGGAACAGACAGACAGGGAGCCCCTCGGCTCTGCTGCCATCTATTGCAGATGCTGCGGTTTCAGGTCTCGGTTTGCTTAAAGGAAGAACGTGGGAACTCTGGAGGGTTCCTGTCTTCCAGGGTTTTGGCCTGGGGCACTGGATGGTGCCCCCCAGGGCTGGGCATCCCACTGTTGGGGGCAGGCAGTCACCGTGCTCCACTCTGGGGCCCCCCACAAGCCAAATGATGCCCCTGCTAAGATCCCAGAGGGACCACCATGGCTCAAAGGCCTTCATCCCCAACCTGCCTGGGAGCTGACCCTCACCCTACCAGAAGCTTTCTCTGCTCCTGTTCTTCACCATCCCTGTCCCCTCCACCATCTTCCAAATCCCACACCCTGGGGACCAAAGCCCTGAGCCTAATGCTCTCCCTGGGCTCTCGCATTCAGCCAGCACAGGACAGAAGCCCAAGGGTCTCCAGCTGTGTGGTCACATCGAGCTTCCCAGGACCTGGGGCTATGCTGCATGGGATCTGTCACGCAAGCCCTGGTGGCAAGGACAGGGCAGCCGGAGTCTCTGATCACCTGGAGTCACCCCCAGCCATATTCAGCCCTAGGGATGATCGCTCGTGTGTGACGTGTGATGCTCCCTGCTCCCAGAGCGGGAAGGTATCAGTGTTGCGGGGCAGGTCTCAGGAGAGGGCCTGTCCAGGTATACACAGGCAGGGGGCACAGTGGGACCAGGGACCGCAGACTCAGGATGGGCTTCACGAGGGAAGATCACCCAGAGCAGGGCAGGGTGTCAAGGGATTTTCAGGGGAGGTGGGCCAAGGCTGAGGCCGAGGCAGGTGGGGCAGGCACACCTGTGGGCTACGGTGCCCTTCTCGGTGATGGTGTCGCACCACATGGTGAAGCCCACACTCACGATGGTGCTGGCAATGAAGACCAGGAAGACCACGAAGGCGCTGACCAGGAGGTTCAGGAAGGCGGAGAAGAAGGAGCTGCAGCCAGAGACAAGAGGGGCAGACTCACTGGACGCCACCTCCCGGGAGACCCCCGCCCCAAGGCTGCAGCCAGAAACAGGAGGCTACCTCCCGGGCGACCCCCACCAGCAGCACCTCCAGACCCTCAGGATTCCTGGGTTGGGCCCTGTGGGGCCTCGAGGGGTTGCTCCCCGTTCCTGCAGTCCCTTGGGCAGCTCCACGTGCCCGCCCTGGGCTGCAGGTCACACCTTCCCAAAGACCCAGGACCTGGAACCCTGGTCCCCATCATTTCATAAAAGAGGTTGCACCCAGGGTGGAAATGAATGACACCCTTGCAAAGCCGCCCACACACAGTCACCAGCAGCTCTGGCCCAGGTGCTTGTGTCCCCCCAAATCCTTATGTTACAGTCCGCCGAGGGGTTAGAAAGTGGGGTCTTTGGGAGGAGAGGAGGTCATGAGGGTGAAGCCTCATGAATGAAATGAGCGCCCTCCCAGAAGCAACCCCACCGAGCTCCCAGCAGATAAGGACACAGCAAGAGGAACGGGCCCTCAGCAGGCATCGAACCTGGATCCCAGCCTGGATCCCAGACCTCCAGGCTCCAGAAGTGTGAGCAGTAAATGCCTGTTGTTTACAAGCCCCCAGCCTGTGGTGCTGAGAGCATCCATTCACCCGCAGGTCATCAGCGCGTGGCCTGGACCCCTGGTAGGACTTGCTTGATGGGCTGACTCTGGTTTATCCATTTAAACTTAAAAGGCCGGGCTGTGATTGGGCCCATCTGACCAGGGCCAGAGCATGGGGAGCACAGGAGGCGGGGTCATGAGGAAGGAGCTCGCTTAGGGCTGGGCCACACTGCCCCGGGGGTCTGAAGCCTCTGCCAGGGCGCACACGGCCATGGCTTTCAGAGGAGGCTCATGTTTCCTCTTCTGAGGATACCGGGCACGTGGTCGGGACACCCACCCCACCCGGCCCTCCTGCCTGGCATGCAAACGTCCACCATCTCTGAATTGCTCCAACAAGATTCAAAGTCCTTCCAATGGGCCTGGCATGGGCTCAGCCTGGAATGCACATGGAGGCTCGTGGGGTAGGGATAGGGACTGTCCCTCCAGTGGGAGCCCCAAGGGGGACTTCCTCCCAGGCAGACATCAGCACGAGCAGCACGGCTGAGAAGGGGCTGCTCCCGCCTCTCACCTACAAGCAGGCTGGATGTTTGCCTGTGTGCTGTCAGCACGCTGGATCTAAGGTAGGTGACCCACGAAACAGCTTCACAGTGATCACTGAATAAACAAGGTCTCCCTGGAATCTCAGCCAAGAAAACATCAACGCCACCATCATCCGAACTCGGCAGCTGCTGATGAGGCAACGTGGAGGCCAGCGCGCTGCCTGTTCATTCATTCATTCATTCAGCAGGCACTTTCTGAGTACCCGCTTGCCCTGTGCTGGGCACAGAGGGCAGAGTGATACAAAAGACGAAGTCCTGGCCCCGGGAGGTGCCCCAGCCAACATGCTGAGGATAAGCCCAGGCCACAGCACCCAACTCAGAGCAGGTGGCACCAGGCTACTTTGTAACATCTGGTGCCTCCAAGGAACCCGTCCACTGGCTCCAGCCCCAGCCACACTGTTTTGGTGACCGCTGGGCTGACAGCAGAACCACCCCCCAGGAATGGGAGGGCTTGAGCCACCCCAAGGAGTCCCAGACAAGGGGAGAGGACACAGGGACACTCTTAAAGCCATGAGCTGTGATCCCAACAACCACACCAAAGAGGGCAGGACCAGCAGGACTCATATACCTAAGCGTGGGGGGTGATCGAGCCTCTGCCCAGGCCTCACGGTCAAAGATGGCTGGAGGGTGGGTACCGTATGCCAGTAGACAAGCCGCAACCCCCACCGCAGCGCCACATCCAAAGCTCTCTGATGACAGAAAGAGCAGTGGCAAAAGTTTGCCAGGATGGGTGCGGGGTCATTCTCGGTCCCTCTCTGGCCCAGTGTGCTGTGAGTCTCAGAGCTGTCATACGTGGGACTGGCTCCATTAGCCCAGTCCAAGCCTGAATCACCGTGTACCAGTGTCTCCCGCCTGCTCTTCGCAATGCGTCTCCTCCATTCTCTGTCTGGAGGCTGAAAGGTACGGACCATGGCAATGACCCCGTGCCCTCTGGCTTCTGGCTGGGTTTGGGCAATGGGGTGGAAGGGTGGGAAAGCAAGGTGGGAATTTGCTACCAGGTCCCTCCACTGAAAGTCACTGCTGCCCTCCAGGTGACCCACCCATCCAGGTCCCATTAGCCAGGGATGGGGACAGCACCACCTCCACTATAGTCACAGAGCGGGGCACAGTAAGCCCACTCCACCTCTGCAGCCTTGGACCAGCTGCTCCACCGCAGCCAAGGAGGAGGTGGTGGCGAGGCATGGCCAGGGTTAGCTCCACAGCCAGAGGCAAGGAAGCTGCTTGGCATCAAACCCGGCCCGCTGGATGGTGCTGGAGTGGGGGCAGAGGACAGTCCCTAGCCAGGCTCCCGCAGGGCACATCCGCCCCTCCACCCGCCGGACAGCCCTCCTGTGGTCCTCCCAGGGACCTGGTCCGGCAGGGGCACCCTCCGGCACCTGGCATTGCTAGACTTCCCTGACAGGCCATCCCAGAGACCTCCCTGGAGGGCCAGGCTGACCACAGTGCAGACAGTGAGGTCGGGCTAGGGCCTGTTACCCAGTGCCACATCCCAATCCCCCTCGGGAGGCTGGGGCAGCACCCTCCACATCTATAGTATACCGAATTCTAGACAGGCACGTGCACAGCTTAAGCTTCCCTGAGTGGCCCGGCTCCCTAAGGGCAAGGTCTCCCTGAAAGACCCCACTGCCTGCAAATACCTGGCCCAGCGCACCTGAGATACGGCAGAGGCTCTGGGCCCAGGCGACCCACTGTCCCCTTCCACCGCTGAACATGGGCCACAACACAACCTCCAACAGACAGAAAAGCCAGTTATCTGGAGACTTCAGACATCCAGCCACATCCCTATGAAATGGGCCTGATTTTGGAGTCTTCTCCCATGACCAGATCGAGGAGTTCCCCACGAGATAGGGAAGGGACCCCAGGCTGGGGCCGCTGCCGGCTGACAGCCTCGGTCTGCTCCTCTCATTCCTTTCTGCTCGGTTTCCAGGGATCCTGCCCAGGCTCTCCAGGTTGTTAAAGCATTGGATATGTCCAGAGCCTCCCCAGATCCAGCTCCCCAGAGGTCACAGGGCCACCCAGCCCCTCCCTCACCAAGGCCAGGCCAGGACAGTGGTCAGGAACAGGAGCCCGGCACACACAGGGTTAACCCTCTCTCTTCACTGCCGCTCAGGGTGCGCTGCCAGGATGTGCCATCTCCATGGTGACCACTGTCCTGGAAAGCCCAGCAATGTGAAGGCTCAGCCGGGCAGGCAGATGAGTTTAACACAGTGCCCCTCTGGCCTGCCAACCACAAAGTGCTGCCAGCCCACGTCCTCAATGCTCCCTCTCAGCACAGCCGCCCCAGGCCCATGGCTGCCTCAGCAAACCCTTCTGCCCTGAAATGGCAAGCCCCCCTGAAGCACAGGCGCCATTCCATTAATTCATTCATTCAATCAGCAGCCAATAAGGCAGCATCAAGATGACACCGCTCTGCAAAAGCTACCCCCCCGCCCCCGCCAGACTCTAATCTTCACACTTCTGGGCACGAGCTCTCAGGGCCTGGACTCTGCACGAAAGACACCCCCGTAGGAAGAGGAAGCTGGCACCTGAGACATGGCCTCTGCTCCACAAGCTCTGGACCCGCCGTGTGACCCTCAAACAGACCTCAAACAGGCCCTGCGCTCGCACTGGCGGGAGGGCAGTTGGGTGGCCTCTGAGGGTGGAGTCCACTTTAGAGGATTAGAGCGTGTGCCGTCCTAACCAGGCCCAGCTCTCTATTGGCCAGAGTCTGATGGGGTCAGCAGGCTCCTCCATGGGCTGGATGTCCAGTGGCCGTTGATGGCCCTGAGAGCCTTTTTCCACCACAGGAGCTCCCTATAAAGGCCTGTCTCAGCCCCTTGGCTGGTCCTGAGTCCCCTTTACCGACCTGGACTTGCTCGCCTAGTCTATGTAGCTGGAGCAACAATTGAGTTGGAATTGGCCGCCCTATCACTGGGCCCTGCAGACCCAATCTTCCCAGGGGTCCAGAACTTCCTGACATGGCAAGTCTGAAGGGTGGACCTGTTGGCCAGACAACTGAGTCTGCACAGGTATCAGGGCCAGGTGAGTGACCACAAGGCAGCAGGCCTCAGGACCCAGGCATCTTTCTGTCAGTCATTCAACAACCTTTATCTGGTGACTCCTACACACCATCCCCTGTGCTCAGCCCTAAGGACACAGAGATGAATAAGGTGCATGCCTGCCTTGGTTTCACCCAGCCGTGGGTCCCCTAGGGTGGGAACCTGTGGCCTGAGATGGCTCTTGAGAGCGTTAACCTACGCCTACAACCAGAACTCAATGGAGGGCTGACACTTTGGACAGATGTCATCGCACAACCCATCTGCCAATGGACTGTGCGGTGCATGAGGTGGGGGACAGGTGGCCACATGACCACGTGACCTGAGCTACTAATTCCTGATGGCCAAGAAGGACACGGGCACCACATGTCCCTGGAAAAGAGCAGGCTGGGCAGAGGTCAGTGGTGGGAAGATTGGTGAACCCCTGAACTGAAGCAAAGGGGCTGAACCTGAAATGTTCTACCACAGGCCCCCTCCCTGAGAGCAGGAGTCGCCCGGGCCTGACCTCCAGTGGGGTCAAGGCCATGGTGAGCCTCCACAATGTAGACCCCCTCAACAACCCTAACCCTCACCCTAACCCCCACAGGCCCTGAGCACACCAGGTCATCTAAGGCTTCCTAAATCCCATACGGGCCGGTCAGCAGGGCTGCGGCAGAGGCCGCACAGTCGGCCTGCATCCCAGTCGGCTCCACCCCATGGGAGGAGGGAATGCCACAAAGAGTGCTGGGAAGGCCTGAAGACTCCCCAGGAACCTGTCTTCTGCCTTTGGAAGGAGATGGTGCCAGCAGTTTGCCAGGGCTGACAGACAGATACCTTCCGTGAGACAGCAAGAGGCAGAGCTGCTGTTATGGCGTCCCTGGGTCTGCTGCCCAGTGTGTGCAAAACAGACCACGCCCTGTGCGACCTGGACTCCTGTCTTGCAAGCTCTGGGGCTCTTTTCTCCCCTCTCCCTGTCCCCCGCCTCTGGTGGAACCCCCTATGAAATCTCATATCACTCCAACCACATAGCTGGGTCCTATCTAGACAGCCACCATCTCTCAGCCTCAGTTGGACCACAGGCACCCTGACGGACACCCAGGAGGCAGGGAAGACGTGTGTGAGCAATGAACCAACTGTGGCCCCACCTGGCCTGCACACTTCACCCTCAGCTTCCAAGACTAAAGGACCTCAAGCCTTGGGAAGCTGACCCTACTCTCTGGCTGTCCCACTCCCTCTTCACGCCATGTCTCATTCAGGGAGACTTCCACCTGCCTGCCCTGCACACACAGCCCAGACTGGGTAACTCTCGGGTTTGGCAACATGGGTGCAGATGATGTCTCAAGCCTCTTCTTGGGACACCAGCCCTGGAGTAGGCTGAGGGGAGGAGGACGGCTGCAGATGGACAGGACACCATCCTGCGCCTGGCCTGACCCCACCTTGAGCAGGGCTCCAGTCACACAATTTGGGTCCATGGCCCCACAGTACCTGGGTCCTCCCAGGCTGACAGCCAGCTTGCTACTGACCCCCACCCAGAACCTTAGTGTCGTGGGTGGAATGGTGTTCCCCAAAAGTTATGCCCAAGTCCCACCCCTGGCACCCGTGATTGTGACTTTATTTGGAAACAGCATCTTTGCAGGTGTAATTAAGCTCTGGATTTCAGGATAAGATCTCCCTGAGTTTAGAGTGGGCCCTGAATCCAGTGACTGGTGTCCCTGTAAAAAGAGGGAGGACAGAGAAGCAGAGAGAAGACGCCCTGTGCGACAGAGGCAGCGGGTGGTGGGACAAGTGGGTTTAAGTCCAGTTGGTGGAACTGTGCTGCAGCAGCCCCAGAGTGCTCCTACCCACAGGCGCTGGGATTCTCACCCCTCCTCCAGATTTTACAGCCCCACTCGGCATAGCCCTGGCTCCATCCCTTCTCCCTGGAGCCCCTCTTCTTCCCTTCTCTGGCCCCTCTCTCAGCCAAAACCAAGTGGTGGGCTCACAGGGGATGGGCAACAGGAGGGCCTCCCCACTCCTGCCACCCGCACCCCTCTGAGTCCTTCTCATCTCCTACCCTCAGGCAGGGAGTGAAAACCTACAACAAAGGATGGGGGTGGGGGCAGAGTTTGGGAGGGGCCTGGGTTTCATGAGTGCTCTCCCGGAACCTCTGCAGGATCTAGGGCTGCTCCTGGGCACAGCAGGCCTCCGCCAGGGGAGTGGGAGGGCCCACAGAGGGCAGCCACATAGGGGGTGGGTGGGCGCACAGGGGGTGGGTGGGAGCACAGAGGGGGCGGGTGGGCGCACAGAGGGGGCGGGTGGGCGCACGGGGGTGTGGGTGGGCACACAGGGTGTGGGTGGAAGCACACGGGTGTGGGTGGGAGCACAGAGGGGGCGGGTGGGAGCACAAAGGGGGCGGGTGGGCTCACGGAGGGGCGGGTGGGCGCACAGGGTGTGGGTGGGAGCACAGGGGGGTGGGTGGGAGCACAGAGGGGGCGGGTGGGCGCACAGAGGGGGCGGGTGGGCGCACAGGGGGGACGGGTGGGTGCACGGGGGGGTGCGAGGGTTCACAGAGAGCACCTGCAGAGGGAGTGGGTGAGCCCGCAAAGGGCCCCTACAGAGGGAGTGGGTGGGCCCCCAGAGGGCCCCCAGGGCGCCACTGGCTAAGGGTACCACCGCACCCCAGGTGAACCAGGTTGTATAGGCTCCAGTATCCAGTATCCTGCCGGAGCAGGAAAGAGAAAGAGGAAAATGGAGGCCAGGATGAGGAAGGCCCTGAGCCCACAAGGCACAGCCCCCGCCCTGCCGTCTCTCTCCATGAACCAAGGCCTGAGCTCGAGGTGTGCCTGGGTGGCTCCCCTCCAGACAGCCGTCTGCCGTCCCTTGCCTGGGGCGATAGTGCCGGGTGGGGCTCCCCAGTACGCCTTGTCACTGGGACCTGGAGAGCCCAGCGCAAGCCCTAGACCGGGCTGGGAGCTGTCGCCGGTCCTGGCGAGTGTGGCCCGGCTGAGCCCGCCCAGGAAGGTCCAGGCCTGCTGGGTGATGACGGTGCAACATCTGCAACCCAAGTGGGCAGATGTCCGGAAGCGGGAGGTGATGCGCACTTGGGGAAGGGAGGCACTGGCCTTGTATGCAGGACCAGTGGTCGTCATGGTCCCTAGATGTGTGTGTAGACAAAGGGCGGTCTGCATGGAGGGGGTGAGGGCTGATTGTTGACATTTGCGGGCCTCGGAGCTACCGGAGAGACGGAGGCACTCGCGCGCCCCCCTGGGGAGGCGGGTCTGGGGGCGCTGTGGGCATGGAAGGGGCGCCGCGCCGGGAGCGGCCCCCACTTACCCCTCGTGTCCCTTGCAGAGGAAGAAGAGCGTGCGCCAGGCGTGCGCGGCGGCCAGCAGCAGAGACAGGAGGCTGGCGAGCAGGCTGAAGCGGCAGGCGGCCGGTGGGCCCCACTCCTGCACCGTGAAGCGCTCGCGCTCCTGCACCGTGAGGTTGGCGCTCAGCCACATGCCCTCGGTGAAGAGCAGGCAGCGGCCGCGGAAGTCGTGGCCGTTCTCGGACAGCGGGACCACCACCACGAAGCTGAACAGGAAGGCCAAGAAGTAGCAGGCGCACTGCGCGAAAAGGAAATTGTTGAGCGCCATGGCCGGCCCGGGCGAGAGCGGCGGCGGGGAGGCCGCGGGAGGCTGCGCCGGGCGGGGAGCCCGCGGGAGGCTGCGCAGTGGCGGCGCCGGCGGGTCCCGCGCGCCCCTCCCGGGACGCGTGCGCATCGGCCGAGCGCGGGAAGCGCCTGCGGTCAGCACCGCGGACAGCTCCTGGTGCTCGCGGGCTAGGAGCCCGGGGTCCAGAGGCTGGTCCCGGCCAAGCCGGAGAAGGGCGGCCTGCGGGAGATGCAGGAATTTTACCAGGTCGGCCTGGGGAGACCGACCCTGTGCCTCTAAAGACTGCGGGAGCCACCTGTACGGGCCTCACACAGGCCGACTCTGGGTCCCCAGTTCCTCATCAGCTCGAAAGAAAGGAGGCCACGAGAGACAGGGCGGGGCGGGGATGTTGGAGGACACCCCCAAGGTGCCCACAGTGAGGTGTAGGAGTGCGGTTTGCAGTCCAGGCTGAAGTGATTCCTTTGCGGGAGTCCTGGAATGCAACGTATGGGGGGAGGGGCCAGATCGTGGAGGAGTCGGGGTCCGTGGGACTGGGACAGAGGTCATCCTCGAAGAGAAGGGGAGGGTGAGGCCGGGTGTGGGCAGGAGGGGGTGGACCGTGAGCTTCTGCAGCGCCAGCCCTCCGCGGGGATGTGTGTTACACTGCGTGGCACGGTCAGGACCCTGGAGCTGCATTCGTAAGATAAATAATGGGTGCCCCGAGCCCCTCATTAAGACATCTTTGCTGAGATGGAAACCGCTGATGCATTAATTAATAGAATTAATGCCTTTTCTAGTTGCCTTTAAAATTAAGTCACCTTTAGTCCAATTCCCAGAGTGAGGAAGCCCTAACATTGCTCCTCCTGGTTTAAAGTTACATCAGCGTTTTTGCTGCAAGCACTAAAAAATCTTTTTGTTTTATTGACTAAGTAATATATGCTCATTTCTTAAGTCAAGTAATAGAGATATGTATACAATAAAATAGAAAGCCTTCTCCTCATCCCACTCCCCTACCCCATCACACTACCAGGGGTGACCACTTTAATAGCCTGGCATCTATTTTTCTAGACATTTTGCTAAGCACATAAGCACACACACACACACAATTAACAAAAATGTTTCATACTATACATAGTTGTTGAAGGCTGATTCTTTTATTCAACAAAATGTCAAGGAGATTATTCCCTGCCTACACATACACCTATTTCGTTCTTTTTAATAACTGCATAACTCCATTATAATGATGGTTCCACAATTTGCATAACTATTCCTCTTAAGGTGGATGTTTTGTGTCTCCAGTTTTTCCTGCCTCAAATGCTGTCATGTGAACATCGTTGTACACATATGCTTGTGAGCTTGCACAGGCATTTTTATAAGAGAAATTCTTAGAAGAGGAATTGCTGGGTCATGGGGTATGCACATTTAAAATGTTGACAAAAATTGCCAAACTGGCTTTAAAAATGTTGTTCGGCCGGGCACAGTGGCTCAAGCCTGTAATCCCAGCACTTTGGGAGGCCGAGACGGGCGGATCACGAGGTCAGGAGATCGAGACCATCCTGGCTAACATGGTGAAACCCCGTCTCTACTAAAAAATACAAAAAACTAGCCGGGCGAGGTGGCGGGCGCCTGTAGTCCCAGCTACTCAGGAGGCTGAGGCAGGAGAATGGCGTGAACCTGGGAGGCAGAGCTTGCAGTGAGCTGAGATCCGGCCACTGCACTCCAGCCTGGGGGACAGAGCGAGACTCCGCCTCAAAAAAAAAAAAAAAATGTTGTTCAAATTTACCCTCACGTCTGGGTTGTAGACCCCTCCCCCTCCACGGCTGAGAAACAGCAGTTGTATTCAAATCCTGCCAGTTTTCACAGAATGTGCTCGTTGCTGTGTAAACTTGGACTTGCTTTGGCATCATGAGGCTGAGCATATCTTCTTACGCTTGCTACCATTTGCAACTTCTTCTCTTCTGTAGATTGCATTTCATTTTGCAATCACTTTGAAATCGGGCCTTGAAGGCCAGCCACGAGGTCGGCAATGGCCACTCTTCTCTTGGAGAATCCACTCAGGGTTTTCACCACTCTTGGAGTATCCCCAGGGAGCCCACTCAGGAAATTCACCCCCTCCCCTGACTTGAGCAGGCGTGGAAGTCCCATCCACTCATTATCCAGCAGTTTGACCAATTTGAACACATCTGGAGGGGTTACACTTCTAGGCTTTGGCCGACATGAAGGAGACCACGACAGCTGACAGGGAACCGCCAGCACTGGAAACTGCAGACTAGGTTGGAAAGATGATTAAACATCTGCCATCTTCAAAGGTCAAAGGTGCGAGACTCTGGCATGTCTGTGATTAGTTCTATTTAACCTTCAAAAATCAAAGACTTCTCTTGTTTGTATTAGTCAGGGTTCTCCAGAGACACAGAACCAGTAAGATGGAGAAAGAGAGAAAGAAAGAGATTTATTTTAACGAATTGGCTCATGTGATTTTATAGACTGGTAAGTCTCAAATCTGCAGGGTGGGCCAGCAGGCTGGAGACCCAGGAAAAGTCGATGTTGTGGTTCAACGCTGTGGCTGCAGAATTCCCTCTTACTGGTGGGGGAGGGGGATTGGGAGGTGGGGTCAGTCTTTGGTTCTATTCAGGCCTTCAACTGGTTGGATGGGGTCACTGCTATAGTTTGAATGTTTGTCTCTTCTGAAATTCATGTAGAAACTTAATCCCCAATGTAGCAGTGGGGCCTTTAGGAGGTGATTTGGTCCTGTCCTTATGAATAGATTAATCTTTTCATGGATTAATGGCCTAATGGATTCATGGGTTGTCCCAGGACTGGTACTGATGGCTTTATGAGAAGAGAAAGAGAGATGAGCTGGCACACTCAGCCTCCCCACCATGGATGATGCCCTGCCCCACCTTGGGACTCTGCAGGGAGTTTCCACCAGCAAGAAGGCCCTCACCAGATGCAGCACCTCGACCTTGGATTTCCCAGCCTCCAGAAACTGGGAGAAATAAACGTCTTTCCTTTATAGATCACCCAGTCTCTGGTATTCAGTTTTAGCAATAGAAAACCAACTAAGACACTCACCCACATTATGGAGGACAATCTGCTTTACTCAAAGTTCACCATTTAAATGTTAACCTTGTCCAAAACTACCCCCACAGAACCATCCAGAATAATGTTTGACCACATCCCTGGCACCTTGGCCCAGCCAAGTTAACACATAAAATTAATCATCTCTTTATTGAAGAAAGTCCAATCTACAGAAAATGTGGAAAACTCCAAAATTCACTTTTAAAAGCCAACATTACATTAATATCAAAATCTTATCAAAACTGTGGCGGAAAGACATAGGAAATTTCATCTACAAATATGGATGCAGAACACTTTCAAATAAAATATTGGGACATTGAACACAACCCAATGTATTAAGAAAGTAAGAAAACAAGAATGGGTAGACTTTAGTCCACAAATGAGAGAATAGCTTTGCTTTAGGAAATCTATCAATGATATGCTACATCAACAAATAAAGGAGACAAACCCACCTTTTCGTATCAAGGAATATATAAAAAAAAAAAAAAAAAACCTCTATGTAAAATAAAACTACCTAAATGTGGTCAAGACTACCTTAAACCACATTATAAATCTGCACCCATTCAAATCAGGAACGACACAGGAATGCTCACTGTTGCAACTATTATTGACCATTTTGGGGGCAATTCTACCTAATGAACCAAGACAAGAAAATAAAATAAGCAGTATAACTATGGAAACAAAGAGGCAAAACTATCTTTACTGGAGGATAATATGATTCTACACCTAGGAATCTCAAGATACTCTATAAAAATATTAGAATTTGCAAGTTAATTTTGTTCTGAGTCTGAAACCTCGCTTAGGTCCAGAAATTGGGCCAAGTGTCTTGACGTCTCGAACAGTTCCCCTTCACATCCTATGATGGTGTCAAGTGCACCAGAGTAAGCAATGCCTCTGCCTTTCCTCCAGGGATGCCTAGTCCTGTTGTCCATCTCCTCCGCTTTCTGTTGGTCAGGACACGCTGGCTCCTTCTTTGACTTTGCTGCTCTTTGGGATACCTGAGCTCACCTTGCTCCCAATGATTAGGTGGCACCTCCTGGTCTGTCTTATCTGGGGATCCCACCAGCCGCATTGTTCTCGGGGCACCTAGTCCTGTGACGGCAGCTCCGACCATCATCCCACTGAGCTTCTCAGTGATTCTGCCCCCTCCCCAGTGCAACTTTCTTGCTCTGGTAAATGGAGACTCCTCTGCAGACACCCTGCAGCCACCCAGGAATGGGGCCTCGGCGGGTGCTGCAGCCTTTGTAGCACGGCCACTCGAGCGCGCCCCTGTCCCTGAGCTCTTACTCCCTCTCCCGCCATCTGTCCTGGCCATTCTATTCGACAGGGGTGAGCATCCACCTTCCAAGCTTCTTAGAGCCACTTAGATGAGTTTTCTGTCACCACTGCAACAAATCGCCACCACGGCACAAATGGATTATCTGACAGTTCTGGGAGGCCAGAACATCCCAGGGTCAGAAGTCTAAAATCAAGGCATCTGCAGGGCTTTGTTCCCTCTGGAGTCTTCAGGGGAGAATCTGTTTCCTTGCCTTTTCAGTTTCTAGAGGTTTCTGTGTTCCTTGGCTACTGGCCTCCTTGCTCCATCTTCAAAGCAAGCAGCACCAGTCCAGCCCTTCTCATGCTCCACCCCTCTGGTTTCTGCAGCTAGAAGACTCTCTATGCTGACATTAGACCCATCTGGAAAATCCAGGATACCCCCCAACCTGAGGTCCTCAACCTTAATCACAAGCACAAAGTCCCTATTTCCGTAAAAGGTAACATACTCATGGGTTGCAGGAATTGGGATTGGGATGTGGACATCTTCAGGGCATTACTCTGTCTGCCCCACTATCCTAGGAACAAGTTAGCCCTGCCTCCCAGGGCTCTTGCCTGGTGTTAAACCTTTGTATTGTACGACACCTCTACCTTTTGGATAAATTCTTTCTTACCCAACATTTATGTTCTACTCCCCTGCCTGGATCCAGCACGCTGTGGTCCAGGGACACACATATCCCTGCCTCCTGCTGGTGCATGGTCTTCAGATCCTGCAGAGCCGTCGGGGCACGCTGGCCTCCCTCTCTCAGCAGAGCTCATTGTTTGACGTTGGTCACCAGCAGGAGAGATGGAGTAGCCCCTCCCTAGAGGGCCATGCATTCTCCTTGCAAAGCAAACCTGTGGATCATCTTCCAACAAGGTG